CAAATCAGTCATTATGTCGTGAATTGAGGTCAGAGAACATGTCCCGATTCCAGAAAAATTGCACCTGATACACATGGACCAGCCAAGGAAGAGTTTGAGCATGTGTGCCGGCATGGCATAATTCGTCCTCTCCACAGGCCACCAAGGTGCCTTGAAAATCAGGTGTTGGTTGTCGAGGATTGTCACACTTAATCACTTATCGATTTTGTTTCTACCAAAGACACTGTATCATTGTTTCATCGTGCAAAGTCAACCCACGTGAAGTCCTTTCATTCTGCTTCTAACGGACTAGACACCAAACGGTCTAATTTTTAACGATTTCGTCTGGTGGTTACACCCTCGTCTATACAATCTCTTACGCAGTTAAACAGCGTCAGTTTAGTTACTTGGTTAACCAGCGTGATGTGGATAAAGCTGCAATTACCGCTCTCGTGAAATGCGTCATGTACCTGGAATCGTGAGAGGCGCGTTCTGAAGGTTAAACATCACGCCACATGCCTGTTTGTGCGTCGCAGTAGTTTTTTTGCTCTAATCGAAATGCATGTGGCTGACGTGATTGAAGCTCTCTACACGAGTTATGGCCTTGTTCTAGCATCAGTGTGGGAAGGTCGGTTCTAGCGTCAACGCGGGATCTGGTACTGCTATCTGAGTTGTCTTTTCTTTGTTACGGGCAAACGTGACAATTCCGTCAACGCCTTTCAAAACATGAGACGGAACCGTAGCTCGTGCGAAGGGTTGTATTGCATGAACCAAGGATTCGAGTACAAGATGGAGGATGCAGTGATGAAATAGCACTCAGCGATAATTTGTTGGTATGAGCAAACGATCGAGGCGACATAGCTGTGCTAGCTAACATGTCATTGGAAATGTTGACATCCCCGACACATATTACTGGCGTACAAACCAACTTAATTGATGCATCGCCTTACGCAACCGTGACGAGTTGGCGCAATCACTAATGTGCAGTGCTGCGACCGGTGATTGTGCGGATCATGATGCAAATCAGGAAAGTCGTGTGTCAGTAATGCTGTGTGTTAGGCAAATTTTCGACAATTTGTGAGGTATACTGGTTGCACCCAATTGTCATCTTGTCTGATTTCGTGGTTGCATTCCTCATCAACGGCAAATATCGATTTTTTGAGGCAAACCTGCGAGTAGTTTGCCAAGACTGGCCACAATGGTTTTTGTAGAGCGAATTGAATTAGCAGCCAAACTAAGACGGCGTTAAGAAGTGACAGTAATTTCTCACCTGTTTTCCGATCTGGTAATCATGAGCTCTGATTTTTTAGTGATTTACTGGGCTACACTCAAATCAACCTGCTCGTTTTCAGTACAAAATGCTCATTATCCAGCCATGAGTCCAGAGATTTTTCGCGTTAATGAAAGCAAACCTTACAAGTCTAACAAGCTTCAACAGCTCTCATGTTTCCTTGGAAACCAAGTACAGGTGTTGGCTGAATCGAGCACTGAGGGAGCACAGAGAGATCATTTGTCCAGAGATCCACCTTAACTGAACCTACATCAACTGACGACTTGTTACTTGACATGTTACTGCACAAGTAAGCCAGTTGACTTACGCATTATCTGCATCTCCTAACTCTTGCCGCATTTCCTCATTAGTACCTAGCGCAGTACTTCTCAATAGCGAACTAGTAACTGTGTACAAGGAATGAAATTCTTGACATGGGTAGATGCCTTCCAGAAGAAACGTGATTGGTTAAGCTTTTGGTTTGAACAAAAATGGCACACTTCCTAATAAACGGAATTCTGGAGACGTCAAAGCTTGACACTGATCGGAAAGTCAGCAAGATGTGGGGTTGATGGTGATCCAGTTGGTCAGACAGTTTTCCTTAGCCACATTCTCGTCAGAGAAGAGAGATTAAGCAGACTTCAGCGTTTGCCACATGTACAAATCACACCTTTGAAGGTTATTGTGGAATGGTACTTGATGCTGCTTTTTGAGATGACATTTTCACACTTGTAATTTTCTAACTTGGGTGTGGTGCGTCTAACAACTATTTTTTTGGCACAACCTCTACAACGATGAGCCAAGTATCAACTAGCACAATCTGTAGTGTCTTTGCTTAGCACCACCTCACGACCTTCTGCTTAACAATCGTCGTGAGCCCAAGAAGAGCTTGAGGAGAGGCAAGACAGCGCCAGTAGATGAGAACATCAATTGGCGTCACGCTAGCCAAGTGCGTGTGTGTGTGTGATGATGAGTGAGCGTATGATTTTCATTAACTTTCCTGTCTACATTCAATATAGACAAAGGCAATTTCAGCACTTGGTCAATGAGAATGTACAAAAAAATAATAAGCGAGCGTTTTGGTAAGTTCGTCCAGGGCACAGGTATCTGATGGTAAACCAAATGCCTGATGGATTTTAACAGCGTTTAAGAGCAAGGCAAAATCGTGGAATCGAAAAATACGGTACCATTGGCACTATTCACAGTTTAGTCTTCAGCGCGGCGTCTCCAGTCATCAGGTTTCCTGGATGCCATGTGGAGAGGGGCCACTGATGGTCTGTAAAAAGGACGAATTATGCTAAGACGCACACATGCTGAAACTGCCTTGGCTGGTCAGAGTGTATCAGGTTCACTTTGTCTGCATTCAGTGCGTGTTCGCTGACCCCAATTCATGATGAACTGATTGACGTGATGACTAGGCTTGCAGTGCGTCTGGAACACTTCGACAATTTTAAGGGAATTCTTCAAGAGTTGTTCAATCCTGTTAAATTCAGGCAATGCAGACACAGAACAGTTGAAAATTCCTGGCAGTATCCATCATGAACACTGCGCTACCATTGGGTAATTTGAAGCTGCTCAAACGATGAATCAGGTGTAAGGAAACGAATCAATTGGGGATGACATGGGAAATGTTGCAGGTGGTTGGGACAAAGGAGAACTCCTGTAATAAGAAGTGGATTTGGACTCAAAGTTCAATGACGCAGCTTAATTCCAGGCATACTGCTTGCGAAACAGACAGTTGGCGATTGTCAGTTGTGTGAATGATTTGCAAAGGCGTCGGTTTGTAGGTTGTGCTTTTGAGTACAGTGGTGGATTAAATGTTGTTTAAAGATTACAAGTGATGAAGGAAGTAGCCAAGCCACTAGCCAATAGGTGGCGATGTTTAGTTTGAATGCTTTGCAAATTCGTCGGACACGAGTGGACTGTGAACACCAAAATGGCACGGACATAAAATTCATGAAGATGGAGAAGAAACTGTACGAAGACACCACATTCAACATTTACCATGTCAGCCTTGGTTGGTCCGTTGTCTTACACCTGATTCATCGTTAGAGCAGCTTCACATTCACCCAGTGGTCAGGCTGTCCTCATGATGAATGCTGTCAGGAATTGGCAATTGCTGGGTGTCTGCATACTTGCTGTGTACGTTCACTGTCTAACAATTATTGTTTGTTCCGTTCATTGTGTTGATGTTTATTGTTCTGGATGACTCCTTCTCACTGCCGAGCCTACCAAATCATCATTTGACCTTGACGGATTTGGCGTTTCAAATAAGGCCTCGGCGCAAATGTCTGTTTGGACTAAAGTGCTTTAAAGTGATTTGCGGTTGTGCAATGGTACTGAATGAATGCGACGCCTCTGCTGTGCTGCCGGACTCTGCTGTTGAACGCCAATGCTCGCAGTAAGAGATCTCTACTATCTTGGTGTTAGTAGGAAATGTTTGTCCAGACAGCTGTAACTGCCATCACAGGATTCTCAAGGAGACAACGCCAAATGCAACATTTGGACGCCCCCAGGTTCTAATCACTGTGGTCAATACCAAGACGAAATTTCATTCTGTGGGAATAAGCGAGAAACGCCTAGTAAACATCCATGTCGTTGGTCATTTACTCTGAAATGGTAACACCACCTTCATGTCAAGCATTCCAACTACACCAAATTTTGCAAAAAAACTAGCTAAATGCTCGCATGAACCCTTAAATCATCGTTCCTCTTGTGGCACCTTAACAATCGATGGTGAAGTCTTCGCTAAAAAGTTGCAATTTTTGAGTGTGAACATGACACCTCAACAGCAACATCACGTGTTACTCTACGGTGAACTTCCAAGATATGCTTTGAACAACTGACAACCAGTTAGGCTGGCAATGACATTTTTTTCGAAGAAGAGTATGGCTGAAGAGAGCTGCCAAACGAACTTGGCCACCATCACTGATAGATCAACATAACATTAATCGCTGCGTTGAATTTCACTTTTCGTCAATATCGCTCAGTAGTTAAGTGTGTCATTTCTGTTCTAATTGAAAGCATGGCCAATCACGTTTGTTCTAAATAACATCTTCGGAGCTCATAATTGTGTTTCACCTTAAATCATTTGACAGCTATCACACGTAGGTGGTTTCGAAATGAACAGGAGCATGGCTGGAGATGCTGCAGAGGGGTGAGTCAAAATGCCCTCAAATCTGTGGTGAATTAAGAGTAAGGTCTGCGCTGTCAGTTGGATAATGTGCGTTCCCGTCAAAGTGAGAAGGTTATTAAGGTGTAGAAAGAGGTAATTGGCTGTGTGTTGGATTAACAAGCTGCACTAATTAGTGTCTCAGTGCATTTGAACTATTAGTGCAGTTTCACCAGCATCGCATGCTTGTCAGCCAATAAACTCAACTGACGCAATCTAGCTGTTCGCGAGATTTCATGGTGGAGGGTGTACCATCAAAACAAATCCCTTAAAAGCAC